ACAAATTTCAAATCAAACATCAATACATACAACTTTACAAGCCAAACAATAAATGTTTATAAGCCAAACAATAAATTCTTGATAATATTGATTTCGAAGACTGCACAATATTCACCTTACAAGTATATTCACTCATATTAACTTCAAAGAAAATAGCTAGTGAAATTATATAGAAAGGAAAAAATAAAAAGAACGACAAGTAAATGAGAACTAGGCAAGCCCAATAAGCATTTAGTTATATGAAAATCAAATGTTCCTACTTCTCATTAATCATGCAACACTTCCACACCCTCACAATCCATCCTCACGTAGTGCTCATCTTCATCATTAGTATTTGCACCAAGTCTAGATGCATCTAAAGGTGCAGATGGCATATAGGCATCTTCATCATACATATCCAAATCATGAAAGCCTCTTGAAGGTTCTTTAAGTACAACTTCCCAACTAGATGTATCACTATCCCTCAAATAGAACACTTGTTTTGCATGTGATGCTAGAATGAATGGATCTCTCTCAAATGGATTTTGTCCTTGTTGGAGGTTGACCAATGTAAATCCATCTTCAACTTTGACACCGTTTCCAGTAGTTGCCCAGTCACATTTAAATAGAGGAACTTGAAATTTGTAGTAATCCAACAAAATTATGTCTCTGATAACCCCATAGAAACAGATTTTTTCAATAACTTGTGCAATGTCTTTTTTACTAGATCGACAAATAGTTTCTGCTTCAATGGAAGCACCGCTATTTTGTGTGGACCTTTGGACATCACTTGTATGAAAGCGATGCCCATTAATGACATAGCCCAAATAAGACGTTGCATGTTTTCTTGGGCCAGCTGCAAGCCATTTCAATCTATCTGAAACCTCATTACTACATGATTCAATCTTTGCTTTCAACCACTGAGAAAAGGTGTCCATTTGTCTAGAATGTAGTAGAGCAGCATCCCTCAAGAAACGTCTATCCAAAAGCTTAAGCTCCTCTGCATGCATTCTGATAAGGAAGGCAAATTGTGAGATAAATATATCATATAAACACTCAATTAGTAATAGATGTTTATGTTATCATACTTACTCTAAATATGGTTGGACTTCAGAACTGTTTATCAACACACAACAATGAGCAATTTGTAATATATCATCAGGTATCATGATTGAATTCCCCAACGTAATCGAGCGTCTTAGTATTGTTTCATTTCATTGTGGTTATGTCGAGCACCTATTTTAGCTACTTGCTTCATGTGCCCACCACAAAACTGCATGCACTCTTCAGCTATATAGCATTCCGCTATGCATTCCTCAAGTCTTGCACGATTCCTAACATATCCCTTAAGTATGTTCATATATCTAGACCATAATATAATTAATATTGAAGTTCATAGATTTTTCGACAAATACATCACTAGATATACATAATAAAAAGTGATATAAACCTCACCTTTCAAATGCGTACATCCAACGAAATTGCACTGGTCCACATATCCGAGCTTCTCGTCCTAGATAGATTGTCAAGTGACCCATAATGTCAAAAAATGGTGGAGGGAAGAAACTTTCCAACATTCATAAAGTCTCAGCAACATCTTCTTCGAGTAGTTTTAATTTATTCCTATCAATCACTCTTTGACATATTTGACTGAAAAAAGTGCACAATTGGAATATTTCATTCCTTGGTCCTTCTGGTAAAAGTCCTCTCAATGGTACTGACAACAATTGTTGCATCAAGACGTGACAATCATGTGACTTGAGGCCTATCAGCTTGCACTCTTTTAATGAAACACAATTAGCAATATTGGATCCATCAGGTAACTTTAAATCATGTAACCTAGAACAAAAGATCTGCTTCTCGACTTTTAAAAATGTATGTGATGCCGGTGGCAAATAAAAATGAGTCCCTCTGTTCTGCGCATGTAATTTGTGTCTAATGCCCATTTCTTCCAAATCTTTACGAGCTTTAAGGATATCCTTTGATTTCCCCTTCACATTCAATAGTGTACCATTGATACTATCGCAAACATTCTTCTCAATGTGCATTACATCCAAGTTATGACGCAAAAGTAATGCTTGTAGAATCAATCAAATATTTATTCTTTAAAAAATTAAGAATAACAAATTCAACTAATTTTGAAAATAGGAATTCTACTTTCTTGAGATTTACATCCCAGTATGGTAAATTGAAAAATATGGACTTCTTCCATGGTTGAACGCAAACTGGCTATTTTACTTTGATGATCTGGAAATTTTTCCTTTTTCTCTCGTTTGTTGCTTTTCCCAAATTATTTTCAATGTATTTAACTACATCGAAAACACCAGATCCATTTAATGGTTTAGGCTTCCCTCGAAGTTCTTGCTTTCCATCAAACCAACTTCTTTTCATTCAAAATGGATGGTCGAGCGCAAAAAATTTCCTGTGGCCCATGTACACAGTCTTTTTACTATTACTCAACCATTGTGAACATGTGTCAGTGCTATATATTGGACAAGCAACTTTTCCCTTTATGGTGCATGCCGCTAAGTTTCTATAAGCTGGAAAATCATTTATTGTCCACATCAAAATAGCCTTCAAATTAAACATGGAGTTGTTGGCTGCATCATAAGCCCTGACACCATCAGTCCATAATTCTATTAGGTCTTTTACAAGCGGCTCTGGATAAACATCTATGTTGTTGCTTGGTTGCTTTGCCCTGGAATTAGTAATGTCAAGATGATATTTTCCTTTGCCATGCATAACCATGGGGGAAGGTTATATGTAACTAACATCACTGGCCAACAACTATACTTTGAGCTAAGATTGGCAAAAGGATTAAACCCATCTGCTAAAAGACCAAGTCTAAGATTTCGTGGATCTGATGCAAAAGATGCCCAATTTTGATCGATTGATTTCCATGCTAATGAGTCAACTGGATGTCTCATCTTGCCATCTTGGCTTTTGTGAGAGGAATGCCAACTCAATTGCTTTGCCCTCTCTTGTGACTTGAACATCCTTTTAAATCTTGATATTATTGGAAAATATCGCAACACCTTCGCAAGAACCCCCTTTTTAATCTTCTTGGTGCGTTTAACTACTTTCCAACTTGAACAATTGCATTTCAGACATATCTCCTTGAGCTCTAAATCTTTTCTAAACAAACAGCAATCATTCACACAAGCATGTATTTTCTCATATCCTAAGTCAAAGGCTTTGAGCATCTTTTTAACTGAATATACAGATTTGACAAGCGTGTTATCTTCTAGTAGCATATCAGACACTAGTCGAATAAGTTCATCAAAGCTTTCATTAGAATGATCATGTGTAGCTTTATGCTTGTATAAAGCAACAATTGCTGAGAATTTAGTGTACTTTGTACACCCTGGATATAAAGGAGTTTCAACATCTTCTAATGATTGTGTTAATTCTCTCTCTCTACTTTCACTTGTAGGCTCTGCAAAATCATCATCTTTTACATGCACGTCTCTGAACATCTTATACGTATTTGAAATTTCCAAATCTTCCTGACGTGACAATGCACTTAGTTGTTCCCCGTGAAGGAACCAAGGAGTATATTTAGGATCCATCCCTTGCATGACCAAGTGCTCATACACAATCTCACAAAATTGGCGAGATAGATTTCAACAATTTCTACAAGGGCAAATGATCATTTCGGGATTCCCTACATTTGCCTTAGCTGTATCTACGAATTTGTGTTCTTCGTCTAGATAATCCTTTGACAATCTGATAATTTTACATCGAAATTTATTATTCCAATAAAATAACCGTAGAAAAGTTTAAAAGTTATTGTGTTTTAGAAAAAAAAACCATGAAAGATGCACCCAAGATTTATCCATCTAGACCCAAGTAATCTCTGGATATTATTGTGTTCAGAACTACATGTAATCTCTAGATCCAAACCCAAGTAAATGAGTCAACTTCTAAAGAACGGTATTCAAAAATCAAAATTATTAAGATGGAGATCTTTATCATTAGATTTTATGTTTTATGGTAATTTTATATTATTGAAATGCGTGTAAACTAATGAGACAACCGATTAAAAAATTTTGGGACGGGGTCAGCCATATTGACGTACTAATTAGCAGGGTGAAAATTAGCACCTAGTCAAGATAAATTAACTACATAGTGTATGCTTAGTACCTAAGTATTGATGCTTATTGAACAAAACTAGAAGCTAAGTGCTATGATATCTAATCAGCACATCTTTACACTGCTGGAAAATAGACTTTTAGTGGCGTTTAAAAAACGCCTCTATAAGTGCCAAAAACGTCGCAAATTCCTTTTGCGACGTTTAGCACCAAACGTCGAGGACGCGACCGTCGCTATAGCTTTGTAGCATTTTAAAAACGTCGTGATAAAACGCCGCCAAATGTCCTAAATAACAGTACCATGACGTCACTGTGATATTTAGCGACGTTTTTAAAACGCCATCATATCTTTTTAAAAACATATTGTAACGCCCTCAAAATAATAACATAAAAACCATCAATAAAGACATGCATTGGTAATGAAGATAAACATTATTCTTATTCATCAGAGTTTCATTACAAAAAGTATTACATGTTAACGACAAAAGCAAATGCCCTAAAGGCTTACAGCTTTCCAAGTTAACACTTGGTTACAACAAAAGAGTACTAACTCATTTACACATTAAGCCCTTGGCTTGAATATACAGGTAATACATCAAAAGAAATGCGACAACAAAGTGTGCCCACCTCTAGCCTCCCGAGCTATGTCCTCGGAGGTGGCATGCTACCTGTACCTGAAAATGATATTCCCATATAGGGTGAGCCACAGCCCAGTAGAAATACACTAAACCAACCATGGACAATGACTAAAACGCGGACCTCCAACTCACGTTCCCAAGTGGCTTCCTCCACTCCGTGATGTTTCCACAAAACCTTGACCAAAGGGATGGTCTTGCCACGCAGGACTTGATCCCGCCTATCCAAGACCCGAAC